TGCTAATTTCACATCTTACTTGGAAGTTATAGACTTCATTGGAAAAATTGAAACAATAAAACTTGTAGAAAAATAGCAAAAAATCTTCAGGATCTAGAACTAAGCAGAATTCTTAGGCTTGACATGAAAAGCACAATCAATCAGTCATGGCGTGGTCGCTCATGCCTGTAATCCCAGCACTTTGGGAGGCTGAGGCGGGCAGATCACCTGAGCTTAGGAGTTCAAGACCAGCCTGGGCAACATAGTGAAACCCTGTCTCTAAATAAATAAGAGGAAACAAAGCACAATCAGTAAAAGAAAAAAATTAATAACGAGGACCTCATGAAAATTAAAAAGTGTTGCTTTGCGAAAGTCTCTGTTCACAGGATGAGAAGTCAAGCCACAGAATGGGAGAAAATATTTTCAAGCCACATCCAACAAAGGACTAGTTACTAGAATATGCAGAATATGCAAAGAACTCTCAGAGTTCAACAGTAAAAAACAAACAATTCAATTAGAAAATGAGCAAAAGACCTGAATACCCTCATTAACCAACAGAATTTACAGATAGCTCATATATGAAAAGATGTTTCCCTAGCCATTGGGGAAAGGCAAATTAAAACCATAACGAGATACCACTATGAACCTATAAGAATAGCTATCATTAAAAATAATGATGATACCAAATGCTGGTGAGGGTATGGGAAACTGGATCGCTCATACGTTGCTGGTGGGGATAGAAAAGGGCACAGCCATTCTGGAAAAAGGTTTGGCAGTTTCTTATAAAACTAACCATTCAACTACCATATGACCCAGAAATTGCATTCATAGAAGTTTATCCGGAAGAAATAAAAACGCGTGTTCACATAAACAGCATACACAGATGTCCATAGCAGCTCTCTGTGTAACAGCCAAAGCTGGAAACAATACAGATGTTCTTTGATGGGTGAATCGTTAAACAAACTGGCACATCCATACCATGGAACGCTACTCAGCAACAAAAAGGAACAGATTATTGACATATGGTACAACTTGGATGGCTTTTTTTTTTTTTTTTTTTTTTTTTTTGAGATGGAGTTTTGCTCTTGTCGCCCAGGCTGGAGTACAATGGCATGATCTTGGCTCGCTGCAACCTCCACCTCCCAAATTCAAGTGATTCTCCTGCCTCAGCCTCCCAAGTGGCTGGGATTACAGGTGCCCACCAACACGCCCGGCTAATTTCTTGTATTTTTAGTAAAGACTGGGTTTCATCATGTGGGCCAGGCTGGTCTTGATGTTATATGGAAAAAGCCAGTCCCAAAATGTTACATCCTGTATGATTTCATTTATATAACCTTGAAATGACAAAATTCTGGATGTGGAGAACAGAATAGCTGCATCCAGGAGCTGGGGAGAGTGGCGGGTGGGGGCAGGGGTGGATGTGGCTGTGAAGGGCGGCAGGAGGGAGGGAGATGTTTGTGGTGATGGAACAGTCCTGCATCTGCATTGCCGTGGTGGTCCACAAATCTACAGGTGTGATAAAAAGGCACAACTGTATCCATCCAGTCACACATCACTTAAAAACGGATACGTTCTGAGAAATGCTTCTTTAGGCGATTTTGTCATAAGACTGTCACAGGATGTATCACACAAACATAGGTGGCAGAGCCTGCTACACACCTGGGCTGTATGGTACAGCCTATTGCTCCTGGGCTATGAGCCTGTGCAGCGTGTTACTGTACTGAATACTCTGGACTATCCTGTGTGCTCTCGGTCACCCTGTCCAGCCCTGAACACAGTGGCATTTTTGTATCTAAGGACAGAAAAGGTGATGTGTTATGCTGCAATGTCACTAGGTGATAGGAACCTTTCAGCTCCACTATAATCACTTGGGACCACCATCGAATATGAGGTCCATCGCTGACTAAAACAGCAGGGTCGTGTGGTGTGCTCCTATGCGTTGTACCAACGTCAATTTCCTGTTTTGAGATTCCACTGCAATCACAAATGGATGTAGATTACACAGGGCTTCTCTTGCTCTATCTTTGCAACTTCCTGTGAATCTATAATTATTTCAAAGTAAACAGTACACTTACACACAGTCACACAAAGCCCTTGGGAGCATGGCAGAAGAAGGAACTAATAGCAGAGGCGTGCAAACAGCCTGGCACGAAGCGGTGAGGGCTTCCACTTACAGCATCTCCACTCTCAAACTGTCGCTCACTGACCACCCTCTTCCGGCACCCCCGGCACCGTCCAGCAGTGCTGGTCTTCCCCTGCTTGGCTAGTTCCTTCCCCTCCCTCCCACCCCAGCTGTGCTCTGGAGTAATGTCCATGTCCACGTCCACCTGTCCCTTCCTGCACGTCCTTCTCCTCTCTACCTGGGGCTGCCAAACCTGCACCACCCCTCTGACCCCACTCCAAGCTACCTAATCAGAGGAAGCCATCCTCCTGGCCAGGGCTGGGCGTGTGGCCCAAGTTAGGCCAAGAAGGGTCCTCGCAGGGAGCTTCCATTTGACCTCTGCAGCTCCGGGCTCAGAGAAAGACCTTCCACGCACATCTCCAGGGCCACCACTCCAGGAGAGCCACTCGTGATGTGTTCTCTGTAACATTTGGCTCAGAGGGAAGCTAAGCCCCAGTCCCAGAAGAGGAAACTTCAGGAAGGAAGGCATGCCAAAGCCAGGACTTGTGTGGGTGCAGACCAGCCAGGAAGGAGGGGCCAGAGCCCCCCAAGCTCACCCTCCTCCCAGGCCACCTACATACCCTCAGCTGGGCCGGCCCCATGGCCCCATGGCTACTGGTAGCCAAGGAGCCCTCACCGTGCTTCAAGCAGCCTGGGGGGCGGTTACAGCACCCCACTCACACAGAAACCTTTCTGGGGTCCCTGTCACTCGCCTGCTCCCTGTCACTCACCTGCTACACGGGATGGAGGAGCTGTTGGAGGAGGCCAGAGTCTCAGAGCGCCAGTGCTTAGCGGGTATTGGGGTTTCTTTTCACAGGGAGGAGCCAAAGCTGAAGGGGCTGGAATTAAGAGTCTCTTGGGAAGCCAGACAAGGGCATTCTCTTTCCTGCTCCTCCCATCTCCTTGCTTCTCTACCTCCTTTCCCTCCCTCTCCTCCCTCTCTCTTCATCTGCCCCCCTCCCTCTTCCCCTCTTGCCTGCTTCTCCGTCTCCCCTCCAAGGCATGTCAGAGCTAAGCAGAGGCAGCAGAGCAGCGTTCCTGTCCTCACCTGTTTACCCCCCATGCTGGCCCCCCCAGCCCTGCTTTTCCCGGCTCTGTTCCTGGCTCCCAGCCCCCTGCCACCCTGGGCAACCTGGCCCAGCCAAGGCCAGGCTGTTTTGGAAAAGTGCAGAGAAGTGGCAGAGCGTGCGGTCTGTGAGTTCCCTCCAAACTGGCGCCCCAATTCCTGGACAAACAGAGTCCGTGTTTGTCTGTCCACAGCGGTCTGTGTTGTTCTCCTTCCAGGCCAGGAGATCCCTGGGGTAGGCGACCGTGTCGGGGACGTCATTGACCCACTGGGCCCACAGGGGAGAGGCAAGGACAGCCTGGGTGATGACAGGGCCAGCCGCCTGCCCAGCTGGGCCCGCCTACCTCCAGCAGGGTGGTCAGGCCGAGGCAGCCCAGGGGCCAGGCTTCCGTTGCCTCTGCTGCCACACAGGATATTCCACCAGGAGGAATGGAATTTACTCTCTGGAAAGCGACAACCTTTCCTGGCAGGACTCCCTGCAGAAGCTGGGGCTTTTCACTGCTTCTCAGGACGCTGGGGGTCTCCGTCTGAGGGTGCCCCTTGGAGCGGGCGTGTGTGGGGTGGGGCAGGCTCCCAGTACTACCGTCTGCTTTTTGTGGCTATAGGACAGTCCCCGCCCCTTCCCCCATCCTGAAGGGAGTGGAGGGCTGGGGCACCTTCACAATGTGGAGCGGGGCGGTGAGGCGGAAATGACGCCAGAGCAGGTGAGCTGGGGTCAGGGCTACTGAGCATCCCCGCTCTGGTGACATTGCTCCGATGGCAGTCTTCTGGGTGGCCAGGCTCCGAGACCTAGGCAGAGCCAAGCCCTGCACCCCGGGGTGTGCCTGGGTCAGGGTGCTCTGAGCCGAGGTTGAGTCTGACTGACTATACCAAAAAGAAACGCTCCAGCCGCAAATGGGCTCTTCTCAGGCCAGCTTGGGGTGGGCCTTCGCCCTCAGGCTCTGGTGATGGGACCAGGGCGGGGCAGAGGCTAGGGCCAGCCTTTCCTGGTTCCCAGTGTGCAGCTTGAGGGGCGAGGCTCTGTCATTGCCCTCCCTTGACACCCACAGCCCCCCATCCCAGGAACCACCTGGGGGTTGCTTTTCAAAGCACTGAGAGCCGGGCCCATTGCTGGTCCTCGCCTCAAGCCTTTGTGACAGGCTTCGGATCTTTCTGTGAAATGAGATAATCCGAGGCATGGAGAAGGCTGCAGCTGTGTCTACCCCACACTCTACTGCTCCTGAGGCTACGCATCCTGGGGCTCAAGGTTCTGACAAGGCCTGCAGAAAGGGAACCAGGATGACTGTTTAACCCATTTCCCAAACTCATTTGATCCTGGAATCTATGTGATCACACAACACCCACAAAATAGGCTTTGAGAAGTGCTGGCATGGAGCTCGAGGCCGCATGTCAGAACTGAATTCTGCTCCCCAATTTGCCACGTCACTGTGAATATCAGTGTCCTCGCTCAAGTTAACAAGACAGGCTCAGAACTCTTGGTCCCTCTGTCCCCGAGACACCTGGCACGCCAGCAATGGCCACAGTCGGAACGTCCTTCCCACTGCCTCTCCCGCAACAGACTGACTGGTTCTCTCGCCCCTTCCCAGGGAACCTTCTGCTCCCAGGACTGACACAGACCTCTGTGCCTGCATGCAAGGAACATCGAACTGGCTTCGTGGGACAGAGGTTTTAGGGAAGTGCTTCCTAGATGACAAAGTGGACAGGGCGTTGCTGATGTGAACACAGGTGGCCCGGGAGGACCTTGCAGTAAAGCTGAGAAGGCAGAGGGCAGAGAGGCAACAGAGACAAGGGTGAGTCCCCATGGTTTATTATGGAAGCCTATGAAAGAGCCACACTGAGTATTTCCAAAATCACAAAATGCACAACATTCATTTTTTTAATATGCAACATGGAATATTATATACAGATTAAAACCACGACAGCAAAAACACTCACACGGTACCAGTTTCATATCAAAACAAAACACACAAGTGCTTTTTCAATATTAAAACAACTGTGATAAAAACATATTAATATTTTGAACCATGTTTACAATAGAGCAAAATTCATATTTTACTAAATAACAAATATTTAACAGCAAAAACTTTATACTAAATATCTATTTTGAATTATAACAAAAATAGTACTTATAATAGTTTATAAAGACAGACGCAAAATTATAACATTTATGAAAAACAAAGTTTGTGTATAAAATACTATAGCCATCTGGGCAGGGTCGTGGTGGTGCCCGGAACACAAACGCCCACGCCCAACATTGAAAGTGCTTCGATCTGCAAGCCCGTGGCAGGATGAGTTGTGTGGGTTTCATCTTTTTTAGGTCAAGTTACAATAGTTAGGGATGATAAGTGAGAAATATCACCCATCTAATGCTAGATCTATGAAACACACACGCACACACACACAGACACAGTAGCTCACTAAAGAGCTGAAAGGAGGGGCGAATTACAACACAGGGAATCCGTCAGCCAGCCAGAGCTTTCTTCGGCTCTCTTCTCATTGCCTTTGAGACCCAGCGGGGCAAACGATCCTTCTCTCCTCCCTCACAGGGACCCCCCCCCTCAGCTTTTCCTTCTCTGCCCCCTACCAGGCTGGCCACCCCAAGGGAAGGTCCCTGAGACCTTCCAGCCCCATGCCCCCTGACCCTCCCCTGGACCAGACCCAGTGGGCTTCTTGTCTGAAGTTCTGCTTACTGCTCTCCTAGATAGGCAAAAGCAAATGGTTCAGGGCCAGCTGGATCAGCCCAAAGGCAAACGGACCTTCCAGATACTGGTTTTGTGGGGGGGGGGTCGGGGGTATAGGTTCTGGTGCACTATGTAGCTATATAGCAAGCTTCCACAAGTCTTTACCCATTCTGGCCCGTTTTTCAGAATTGGGGTGATTAAGGGATTTTTACCAACGTTTTTAAAAGCGTTGAACTATTTTTGCCAATAATGTCTGTTCCACACTTTTTTTTAGTAGTGGAAAAGCAGGAAAGAAATGAAATATCTGAGTCGGAGATTGTAGAGGGCCTGCGTGGTACGGGCTGTTCCTGAAGTCTACGGTCAGGGCGGCCGTGAGTGGGGTCAGGGTTGGTCTGTGGGGCGGCCCACGGGATCTGGTCTCAGGGAGCCACTGAGGTGCTCACGGCAGCGACTGGGGACTGAGACGTCCTTCATGCTTCTGTGATTTCGACAGCATCAAAAACCAATAGAGAAACACAGAAAGCAAGGAAAAATCTGAAAGCAGACACAACTGCTTAGAGACTCACCGAAGGCCCCAGACCATTCCCAGGAGGCATCCCAAATCGCCAACACTCAAAACGCCAGTGGCAGGAGCTACTCCTCTTTCACCCAGTCATCCCAACTGGCCAGTTTCCAACCCAATCCCTCTGACAAACCGCACGTAGCCGCCTCTTCAGCTCTGGCGGCAGCCTCCCCGCAGCTGCCCAGAGACCACACCGCCAGCCCGGAGTCAGCTCCCAGGCAGGACTGCCGCTGTGCTCACCTCCCCCACGCTTTCGCCTCTTCCCCACCCCTGAGCTGGGCTAAGCAGACAGTGGCATAGAGGTGGAAGGGACTTCCAGGACACCTTTTTCAGGGTTGAGGGCAAAGGGGGAGGGTTAAGGAAAGGAAGACGGAGGCCCCGGCGCCCCATCAGAAGAACCCGTATCTTTCCCGGTACTCACGCACTGGAGTCAGGGGCACTGGGGCGAACAGGGGCCGAGCACGATATCTTGGCCACCTCCAAATCTACCTGATCAGAGTTTTTGACAGGACAGGGAGGAAGCAATGGGCCATGTCCCTTCTCCACCAGGGACAAGGCAGAGGCTCCAGACTTCAGCCCAGGAGTGAGGTTCCGAGATCAAACCCAAATAATAATGCCCAGAGCCAGGGAAGGCTGTTCAACCCTAGGCCTGGGGGCTGGGTTTGACCAGAGACCCCTTCCTCTTCACTCACAGAAGTCTGGCCGGGACAGCTGGAACACAGGCTGGGGCATGCCGGAGAGGAGATGTTTGCTCCGGACCCCAGCATCCCCAAGATTCTCTAGCAGTGAATAAATATGGGGGCGGGCAGCACGTGAGCCAGCCGAGGGCCACAGGCCCGAGTGTGTAGGAGGGCCTGGGTCAGCAGGGGGTGGGAAGGTGGGGGTGTCAGTGCACCTACCCAGGGCCACCAGGGAGGATGCTGGGGAGACAGGACCCGGGGATCCTTTGCCCCAAGGTCAGAGGACAGAACAAGTAGCAGCAATAATTTCAAATGTCCAAACCAGCGGGGGAGGGCAGGAACGGGGGCATGAGGAAAGACAGTCTCCAGGTTAGTGGCAGCCCCCGCCCCAAGGCTGACTCCTGCTACCCAGGATGCTGTTCCTGGGCAGACGCAGTGGGGGCACAGGAAGAGGAGACACTGAAGAGTGTGCTAGAGGGGGCACCGCTCTTCCCGTCCCCCAGCTGCAGTTAAAAGGGTCCAAAGGGAATGGAGGGACGGGGCAGTTCAGAACATCACAAGAACACTGTAGCACGAGCTGACACCTAACACTGTCACGGGCATGCAGAGCCCCCGCCACGCCCTTCCCAGGGGCTGAGCTGGAGGGAAGTGGGACCCAGAAGGGGAGCCTGGCCCTAGGAAGGATGGAGCCCAATGGCTTTGGGTAGGGTTTGCCAGGGAGGGGGACCAGGGAAGGGCAAGCATGGGGGCCACTCGCCCTCCCCATTCCAGCCCCTCCCACACACAGGTTTCTACCTCCCATCACCGCCTCCCCACTGCCTGGGCTGGGCTGAGGCGGGTGGGCTTGGGTTAGACGGTGGCGCTCAGCATGGCCTCTGTCTCCGGCAGGATCTTGTTCTGGTTGGAGTCCAGGCCAAAGAACTTGACGCTGAGGCCATCCACAGGGTGCAGGACGGGGACCAGGGTGATGCGGGGGAAGGTCCGCGTGGCCAGCTCAAAGCGGCTGGTGCTGGCCAGCTCCACCGCCAGCACCTTCAGGAACAGCTTGGCCAGGTGCTTGCCCAGGCAGGTCCGGACACCACCGCCGAACGGGAGGTAATGGAAGCGGCCGTCCTTGTCCTCACTCCGTGCCTGGCTGAAGCGGTCGGGGTCGAACACGTTCACGTCTTTGAACACGGGCGCTGTGTCGTGGGTGTCCCGGATGCTGTACATGACACTCCAGCCTTTGGGGATCTGGAAACCCTGGATCAAGAGGGGGGCCGGGGAGCAGGTGGTAAGAGCCAGAGGGGCCCACAGAGGGACCAGGACTGCCCGCTCCCTGCCCAGCCCCGATGTTCAAACCTGCCTCTTCCTAGAAACACCCCACAGTGGCCCCCAAGGCCTGGCCAGCCTGCCGCACGCAGCCTGTTAGTCCAGGCTCTTATCTGTAGACGTGCACATGCAACTCACGTATGCCGCCCAGCTTGCTTTTCCGCCCAGCTTGCTTTTATCTGACTGCATTTGGGGCGCGCTTCTCCCATCAGACTGAAAGCTCCCTGAAGCAAGCCTGAAGTCCCCGAAGTGGAGGCTGGTCTCCCATCTCACCCCCATCACAGTGCCCCCGCCTCCCCACCCCCTGTGCCACGGGCCCAGCCTCACATCGAGCTCGAAGGTCTGCAGCACAGTGCGGTAGCCGCCAGAAATGGGCGTGAACAGGCGCATGACCTCCTTGATGACGCAGTCCAGGTAGCGCAGCCCACTGAGCGTGTCCAGGCGCAGGGTGCCCTCGCAGGGGCAGCCACCGCTATGCAGGATGCCATGAGCCCGCAGCTCCTCCCGCAGCTTCTCCAGTACAGCGGGGTGCTTCAGCAGCTGCATGATGAGCGAGGTGCTGGCGCTGGCTGTGGTTGCATAGGCCGCAAAGATCAGCTCCAGGGTCCCATCCTGCAGGCCACAGAGGAGAGGCATTGTTGGAGGTCTGGGTTCAGCCAGGCAGAGGCTGCCCCATTCGGCCAGTGGCCCCTGTGCCCAGGTCATCTGTGCTGGGCCCTGCCTGCTTCCTGCAGTGAACTCTGCTTCCTCTGAGCCTCATGTGCAGGGGCATTAGTGTCAACATGGACATGAGAGTCACAGTCAGTCCCTGGCTGGGCAGAAGACAAAACTGCTGTGACACAGGCAGAGCACTGGCCTAGAGTCCCTCGAAGTAGCGCCACTTCTCACTCACTGCAGGGGTCCTGGGCCAGCCCCACAGGCCTGATATGCAGTGGGCTCACAGGAGAAAAAGAACAAATCCCAAGGAGCCGGGCCCTGAGCGCAGGTGTGCGTGTGCACTGTGGGCGAAGTGGCCTTCCCACTCCCAGTGCCAGCCCCTTCCTCCAACACAGGAGGATGTCGGGGGAGTCAGGGGAGCCAATGGGGTCTGGCAGGCAGCCTGGGGCCACACCTCTGGAGACCTGGGATGAGGCTGAGGAGAGGTGACCTCCAGAGGACCTGAAGACCCCTCCAGGGCTCTCTGGGGAGCAGGACACCAGGACCATGGGTTCCCCATAGAAAGGCCCCAGCAGGTCATCTCGGCAATGCCTGCATTCCCCAAATGTGGACTCTGGGCCCAGGGAAGGGAATAAAGGGACCGGGGCCCATTACTGGCCATGGCACCCCCCATAAATCAGAAAGCTGACTATAATGGGAAAACCACTCGGGCTTCTTCCTACCTCCCCAGTAAAGAAGCTGGAGCTAGAATACGGGGAGGCAAAGACAGAGGGCAGGGGAGGCTGCAGTGAGTGTCTGTGGGCACCGGCAGTGGAGGGGCATGCAGAGCTCAGGTGGGGGACAGGTGAGTGAGCCCTCCTCGGGTGAAACATCCACCCAAAGCAGGGCAAGCAGGCCCTTCGTGGAGCACAGCTGGGTTCACCAGGCGTGGGGGCGATGGAAGGGGAGGCAAAGTGCCAGCAACCTGAAAAGCCTGGGCTAGGGGAGGAGACTCCACATGCAAATCTCCCCTGCTCTTCCCCAAGGGCTGAGGCTGGCATCAAGCAAGTGGTTTCCCCTTGTGGGCCTGCGTTTCCTTAGATGGCCTCCCAGGGATATTGGGACCAGGACATGAACTGAGATCACTCCCAGGCATGAGCTCCCTGCAGGCCATGGGGAGAGGAGGATGCCCCATTGCATCCTGCACAGCAGGGGCAGGGACACGGACTTTGCTTCCAGTTTCACCGTGTCCAGCCGCTGCTCAGAAAGCATGTGTGGGGCGCGACTAGAGGGGGGTAGAAAGGGCCGGGCACGTTTCCATCGGGGAAAGCTCAGAGTGCAGTGTGGGTGCTGGTGCTGCCAGCAAGGGACATGTGCCCCCCCCACCTTCAGCTCCTGCATGGTCATCTCCTTCCCGTGCTCCTTGCTGCTCTCGATGAGGAGGTCCAGGGCGTCCGAGTAGTCCTTGCCCTGTGTGCACTGCAGCTTTTCCCGGATCGCCTTCTCCAGCCCCTTCTGCAGGATCTGCCGGGCCTGAATGCCCTGTGGGGAGAAAGGGCTGTCACCCACATGGAAGGGGGGCTCCCATCTGAGCCTCGGGATCACCAGGGAAGACTCCAGCCTCCTCCTAGCCCACGCTGACACCTCTCCCCTCTGCCATGGGCCCCATGCCTAGGTGCCTGTCTCGGGGTCAGCCCCCCGCCCCCCGAGAGGAGGCTCATGGGTGCCCCTGCCCGTCTCCTCCTTGGCCCTGGGTGCTCACCCGCCGGTAGCCGCTGAAGGGCAGGTCGACAGGCAGGGAGAAGACGTTCTCCACAAACTGCTGGTAGACCTCAAAGAGGTGCCCCAGGTCCTCCTCAGGGATGCTGAAGCCCAGCAGCACCCGGATGGCCATGCGGAAGGTCAGCTTCTGTGCCTCCTGGTACACATTGATGGCCTCGGGGTGGCTGCTCCAAGCGCGCAGTGTGTCCTGGATCACCAGCTGGATCTTGGGCAGGTAGCTTTCCAGGGCCTCGTGGCTGAAGATCTTGGAAAAGACCTGGAAGGCAGAGAGGCAGGTGGGTGAGCCAACTGGCACAGCCCGCCCCTGGCCAGCCCCTCACTCTGCCTGAACAATGAACGCAACCAGGGAGAACTTCAGCTTCCAAACAATAGCAAAGCCTTGGGAGCTGGGCAGGCCAGCTGCCAGCAAGTCTTTGGGGGATGTGGCTTGCGAGGGGCACAAGTAGGGGCTGAGCGGGCCAGAGCAGGGAGGCTGCCCTTACACTGCAAAGCCCATTTCGGAATCGCAGGACAAAGGGCAGGTGTGCTGGGAGAAGTGGAGCACAGGCATCGGACTGCACGGGGAAGTAGGGACGGCCCTCGGGGGAAAGCCACTCCACGGATGGAACAGCAAGAAAGCCTGAGACTAGACCTCAAGCAGGACTTCCTGAGAACCAAAACTTATCACTTGGGGGAAACACCTACTGGGTGCAGATTCCAGGAATTTTATTAACAGCTATGCCATTAAAAGGCCTTCAGTTAGGCCAGGTCCAGAACCGGGGGGTTGGGGACAATGGCTTTCCACCCCCAAAGATCATAAAGACAAACCGAAGCCCTGTGAATTCCCAGCATCTTCCAGGGCCACTGGAAGCGGCCAGTGAGTCCTGTTTCCACCTCCCTGCCTTCTGTCCTCCCGACTGGCTCCGCAGCCCCCTCGCCACCCCTCCTCACCCAGGTCTCCCAGCACAAGCTTTTCATGTGTGGGGGAGAGGGGAAGATGTTAGTTTATTTACCAATAGCCCGTGGGTCTCACTCGCAAGCAGGAGCCTCCATCCCACCAGAGTTCAGATGAGAAGGGTGAGTGCCCCCCACTACCAGCACCAAGCAAAGGCTGGGAGGGGAGGGACAAGCAGAAGAGGGAGCCCCCCACCCCACCCCATGCAAACCACACACACGCGCCGCCCTCCCCTCCTGCCCCCCAAACACAACCACCGCACAAACTGTAAATGTGAGAATTTCCCCTGCAGTCAGCTCAGGGAGGAAAGGTAACATTTTCCTGGCCTGGGCCCTGCATGGCTAATGGGAGGGCTGGTTTGCAGAAATAACAGTGCTGGCCCTTCAGTGGCCCAGCCAGGCATTCACAATAGCACTTTCATTCCGAAATTCCCGGTGGAGGGAGGGAGGGAGGGCAGGAGGCCGGCAAGGGGCAGAGAGGCCTGCACTGTTTGGGGCAGGCCTGCTACAAAGGGACAACTGAGAGGTAGAAGGATGATAGGAGGTCGCCTAGGTCAGCCTAGGCCCAGATGGGTCATTCACACCTTGCCCAGTTTTGGGGGTCACAGGGAATTTCTAGGGGACTCTAACTGCTGCCTCCCTTCAGAGAGCGATGGATAAAGGCAGTGCTTGTTTGCTTCAACCCCCAACGCTCCTGTCCTTAGGATTCCAGGTTCAACCTTTGGGCAAATGAAGGGTCTTGGGGGAATGGAAGGGTGCCCTTACCCTGGAGCCCAGCACCAGCCACTGAAGCACCCCTTACAGACAGCAGAGAGTCACAAGGTGAGCAGACGATGGAGTGAGCAGACAGCCGAACATAGAAAGGGAAAGGGCATCGGGAAACGAGACAGAGGGCAGGAAAATCTCCATGGCGGGACAGGGAGCCCAGAGGTGGGACAGGGACGGCCAGAGAGGTCATAGCTGGCCCAGAGCCAGCCAGCCGAGGACAGACTAGGGGTTCTGTCATGGAGGGTGCAGGGTAGGGGCTGGCCAGGGCCCCCAGCACATGGGAGACCTGATCCAAAGACAGATGTGAGGAGTGGGGAAAAGGCAGAGGCCACGTCCACCAGGCCCAGCCAAAGTCGAAGCCAGTGGGCTCTAAGGTGCAGCGGGTGACGAAAAAGGGGCTGAGCTGTAACTGCGCATCGTCCAGCAACTTCCAATGTGATCATGGCCGAGTGGCCACCTGCTCCCCCAAGCCTCAGTTTCCTCATTTGTAAAACAGTGAGGTGGAGCCAGGTGACCTCCTTTCAATCCACCGAGCACGTCAACATCTGCACGCAAACATCAGCTCCCAAACATCAGCACCCACCTGCCCCTAGGCAGATGCTATCCCTTCAGAGTGGCCCAGAACTTGGCAATGCTCGAATTCTCTGGAGAGTGCCTTCCAGCCCCCACTCACGCACCCCAAACGGGCTATAGTGGCCCGGGAGGGGCCATCCCAGGGTTTCAAAAGGGGGAGCATGGAGGGCCCCCACCTCACCCATGGACAAGCTCTGCCCTGCCCCATGGGTGCCGTTTCCTGCGCCCTCTAGCGATGGCCGGCTGAACTGCTCCTTCCCAGGCCATGGGGGCCCTGGAGGGCAGGCAGGGACAGCCCAGGAAGAGAGAAGGCCCCAGGGGGACCTGGAACTGAGAGGAAGACTCCGAGGACAGGGGTCCACACCTGACCCCCATGGGGAGGGGGTCCATGGGCAAGGCCAGAAGCTGGAATCCTGGAAAAGCCACTGCCACCCAGCACCTGCAGGCCCCTGGGGCTGAGGCTTCTGGAAGAGAAGTGAAGGCAGTTCCAGGACTCTGTCTTTGCCGCAGCTGACTTGCTGAGTGACAGCCAGCAGGCCGCTACCCCTCCTGAAGCTGTTTCCCCACAGGGTTCAGGAGAGGCCCAACTGGCCCTTCTGAGGGCCTTTCCGCCAGGCTGTCCATGGCGCTCCTCAGAGCCCACCGCAAGGTGGAGAAACCGCCCCAATAAGAAGCCCAGCAAAGGTGAGTGGAGGGCACTCCAGCCCCGGGGGCTGGCTTCCGAGGCACCAGGTCCAGGCCCCTTCCTCTAGCCCAGCTGCTCCACAGGCACTGGGGCCTCCCCAGTGTGGGAAGCCTCCACGGCCTCATCTCTGGGTCTGTGCCCAGGGGTAACAACGCAGGCACTTCCGGAAGCTGGGGCAGCTCTGAAACCACCACCCACCGCAAAGGATGGCGGAGGCGGAGGCGGTGGCTGGGGCAGAGGGCTGCCAGGGCTGCGTCAGGGAGGGCTGGGTCTGAGGCCGCCGCCTGCTAGGGTCAGGACTGGGGCACACTGGGAAGGTGCCAGGGAGCGGCTCTGAGTGAAGAGAGGACGGGTTCGGGCCGAAGCTACTTCCCTGACCACAGACATCGCAGGAGCCAGGCTGCTTTGTTTCCCTCTGGGGCTTCCCTCGGAATTCCCAAAAGTCAGCCAAGAAGGCCGGACAAAGGTCACTGAAAGCCAGCCCAGGCCCAGACCAAACCCTGCAGAGGGAGCGGCAGGTATGGCCTTCCCGCCAGGGCTGGTGCAGGAGAGCAGGAGCGCCTGTCCGGGTTGACCTGCTGCAGCCTGGGAGGCTGGGGCTGGAGGGAGGAGGGCACTCGCCGGGAGGGGATGGCCTTGGACAACCCCCCCGCCAAGCCCCCAAGGACACCACAGGCTCAGGAGTCCGCACCTTTGCTTCTCTCCTCCCTCTGGAGTGGGAGCTGATCCCACAAGCGTCCGGGGGCACCCCCAGGGGCTGGTGAAGGCTCAGATTCCCCATCAGTATTTCTACAAGTGCCTTCCCCCCAATCAGGTCTCCTCTCCCCTCCCGCCTCTCACCCAGTGCCCTGGGAGGGAAGTCACTCTGTGAACCCCTATGGCCCTGCGTGCCACGCTTGCTCAGCCACATAGCCTCCCCCTTCTCTGCTGGTCGGTGTGGACAGATGGACAAATGGATGGGCACAGGAGCCGGCAGAGCTAAAGCAGGGACCCACTGCCCGGGCCAGTGACTCAGACTGGGAGGAATGGAAGCGGCTGCCCAGGAGGGTGGGGGCCTGGGCAGGCCACCCGGCCAAGCCACCGGAGCCTCGGCCTGCGGAGTGGAAAGAATAACAGAGGGCAGGCCGCCGCTGAGGCAGCCGTCCGCACAGGGGTGACACCAAGGTGTGTACTTTATATTCAGGCAAGGGGGGTGAGAGCACGTCATCTTCCCAGCTGCCTGGCATTTCCAGCGGGCCTCAGCTTCACCCTGGCCCACTGGAAATGCCAGGCAGCTTCATCCAGAATTGGAAATGTCCAATCCGGGTGTGTGGGGCTGGGCACACTCAGTCCCTCTGGTTGCGGGGAGGCTGGCCCAGATCCCCAGTAGGCTCCAGCAGTCGGAGCACAGCGCCTGCCCACCATGTGCCTCCAGCTGTGATCATCCCACCTGGAGACGTGCCCCCCACTGCCCTAACTTCCACACAGCACAAGGTGGGCAAGACAAGGAGGGGCGGGCGGCACTTGGCAGATGCCCGCAGAGCCACAGATTCTGAGGTCTGCCCGGCTGCTCTTACGTCTCCTGCCTCCAGCCACCAGGAACCACTGCCTTAGAAAGCAGTGGGTGGGGAGGGGCCCTCCCAAGGCCACAGTGCAGAACATGGCTGGCCACACCCACCAGAAGCCCTGAACCCCCTGCCTCCCACCACTCCAGATCCCACAGAGCTGCCCTCTGCCAGGCCTGGTGGGCTCTGAATTCATCCAAGGGTCCTGAAGGGGAAGCTTCTCAGGGTGAAGTCCACTCTCAGGGTGAGGCCAGCTGTCCCCGCCACGCTGGTGTGGTCCCAGCGTGTCTCAGGGCCCTGCAGCTGCTTCTTTTTAGGCCTAGGGGACCCAAGACAGATACAGTGACTAGCATGGGAGGGCCAGGGCCAGGGCAGACCCCACCAAGCCTTCTCACTCCCCGCCAAGGCCACCTTTGTCTTCCAAGGCTGGGAGAGTGAGCAAACACATCAGCACCACAGCCTTGGACCCCTCCCTGCCTTGGGAGAAGGACACAGAAAGGAGGGACAGAGGGAAGGGCTGGCCCCTGCGTCCAGGCCGCCCACCCACCCACTGCCTGGCACAAGGGCATGCAGAGGGAGGCACCCACTCCCAGGCGCCTTGGCAGCTGACCATGGGTTCCCTCCCCCACTGACCTTCAGATACATCCGCTCCTGTCACCCGCCCCCTCAGCAGCCCCTGTGCCCACCCACTGGTGCTACAGTAACTTTTGGGTAAAGGACTTGTACTGGCAGAACAAAGGCGTTGTGCCTATGCCCGTGGGCTGGGGCAAATCTCCCAGCAGCAGAGCTGCCTGGCTGTGCCACTGGCCTTCCATCCAGTGCAGGCTGGACCTTCTGCCCTGAGCTGAGCCTGGTGGACATCACCGTAGCCAGGGGCTGTGCCTTGGTCCAAGGCCTCTTAGAGCCAGCGTGGGCTAGCCTTCCCCGGGACCCCACAACCATGGCTACTCCTGGCACCGTCCTCCTGCCGAGGCCTCTCCTGGCCTCTCCATTCCAACACAGACCCCAGCACAAGGTTCCAAGATGAGACCCAAAGGTCAGGGACGGTGGGTGGACAGGCAGGGTTTCTTGACCCTTACCTCCAAAGCCTAGTCCCCGACCTCGGCTTCAGGCCCAGAAGGCCCTGTAGGCAGGGGTTTGTGTAGAAGGGGCAAGACTACCACTCCTGAGGTCTCCCCAGTCCAGGGGCTCCCTGGCTAAGTCCCTCCCCTGAAATACTCTCCAAGTTCCCTGAGGGTCACTCCAGGCCACTGTTCAGCAGTGCCCTGAAGCTGCAGGGTTCTTGATGCATAGAGGTCCAGTCCCATCTCCAAAGGAGAAGCGGACAGGCCCAATCCTGGTTGGGCATAGGAAGCTTCTAGAATGATTCCCTAGCTCCTTCTCCATGTTTTGGACAACTGTCTCACCCTCACCTTTGTAACCAGAATCCATCTGCTCTTCTAGGGCAATACTGCACGCTCTCTACACACAAAGCGAGATGGGGTCCCTCCCCTATCCATCAGAGACACCCCAGGCCCTGAGCAGGGGAGGGACAACCCAGGAGCAGGGAGGGAGTCTGAGGCTCTGGCTGCAAGGACACAGGCCTGGCTTCCAGAGATGATTCTGGTAGACTGGGCAAGACTTTATGGACTTTTTCCCTGGCAACCCCACCCACCCCTGCTGGCCCGAGACCACCAGGGCAGCCAGGGCAAACACCTGGAGCGCAGTGATGGCAGTGAGAAGCCCCCTCCAACACATCTGGTCAGACCTCCCAGAGGCGGAGTGGGCCACCAGCCCCAGTGGAAACAGTGACGCTCCAGTTCCCCACCAGCCGGGCCCCAGCACACCTGGGCCCCACTTCCCAAACGTACCTCCTAACCAGGCCAGTCCTGGCCCAGCAGCCCACGCTACAGTCAAGCCCCTGACTCCAGCAAGGGCCGGATAAGGCAGAGTGCGAGGCACACAGCAGCCCCCGCCTCGGCCACACTGAGTCCACCAGGCCTTGGGTCCAACAGTTGGGCCATTCTCTCCAGGAGCAATATGGATATTTAGAAACAGTGGCCCTGAGTGTTCTCCTATCCTCCAGCTAGATTCTGCCTACCTAGCCCCGGGACTTCCATGGAGTTCACTAAACTTAGATTATCAATTAGGCAGATTTAGGGGGAAGGATCCTTTTGTCTAGCTGACTACCCATTTCTCTTTCGACTCCCTCCCCGCAGCATGGCAAGCAAAACTGCTAGCTACACACAAAGAGGGGGCCCTGCAGGGGCTCTCAGGCCTCTGGCAGGATGAACCAGCTTCTGGTGACTCCCCAGAGATCCCCAGGAAGCTAAAGGACGGGCTGTTCTGAATAGGGAGCCACCCTGCCTCAGCCAGGGCCCTCACTTTCTGCCCCAACTCAGCCCCAGCCCTGCCTCTCCCTTCCCGGTATTCCTACAGCACTGATCATCTGCACCCTCCCTTCCTTCTCCCTCTTTTGTAAATGGACAGTGTAGGCCAAAAAACCTTGGGGCTTTCCTGGCAAGCCCTTCTCAGCCAACACCTGGAGGCCCCAGGCCAAGTCAGGCCCAGGGTGGGTGGAACCCCAAGGCCACGTCCTCACCCCAAAACCCTCTGGACCCCAGGGTCTCACAATCTGGTCCTGGCCGCACTGCCTTTCTCTAAGCACTCACTGTCCACCCCAGGGTCCAGCAGCCCCAGGCGGGCACGGCAGAGAAGGACTGTCCTTGGGGGCCCAGAGACTATTCCATGGACAAGGCAGTCCCGTGTTGCAGGCTCTCCCGGAAATTCTGTCTCACGATCCGGTTCAAGTATCCTTCAACTGCTCTACTACTCAGTGGCCCCTTCCGCGGAAAGGGGACAATAATTCCCCTCTGGCAAAGCCTGTGGAAAGGGGAGGTCAGGACGCAGCCATCCCCTTTGGAGCTGAGCCTCCTCTCTCCCCACTCTTTGAAACGGGCCTGTGGTGGAGTTGCAAAGGCTGAGAGGAAAATAACTGCCCGACGCCTTTGAAAAGCCCTCATTCCGAATGCCTCCGGCCTCCTCCCCGCCACTCCCCAGAACCCCTCTCCCGCCGCCCCCAGGCTGTGATAACTGCTTCTAGCTCGGAGTGGGGCAGATGCAAGAGAGGACTTTGGGAGCCCCTTTCCAGTTCCTGAAACACAGGCTGTAGAAGGGAACTGGCGTGGGGGCGGGGATCAGTCCAGTCTCCTCGGTTTGTTTCTTCTTTTGTCTGCCTTTAAGAATTACCCTTCGCAGGCTGTTCAGAACGTCAAGTGCTTTAGGATGCGCCAGCGAGTAGACGGCTCCCCACTTTCTCCAAGACCACCGCACACCCGGCCCCTGGCGAGGGAGTCCGCCTCCCCACTTCCCCGGTCTGCCGCCACTTCCTTTCCTTAGGTTTCAAACCTGGATGAGTCCTCTGATCCAGAGGAAAAAAAGGGAGTGGGGGAGGTCGCGCAGCCTCCCTCCCGGGCGGCTTAGGGCCGGCCCGCCGGCTCCGCTTTCGGGTTACTGCAGTTCAAACAGCACGTGCCGCCCGCGCTGGGAGACGGATGCAGCCGGTAGGGGCAGGGGCCTGCCCGGTGCGCGCCTCCTCCGCACCTCCTCCAGTCGCTCGGGAAATCCATGGGATAAACACCCACTTTCCCTTCCTCTTTCAGGGGGGTGGGTGCGCTTTGATCCCCGCTCGTGCCTTGCCTGCTCTCCCGACCCCGCCCGCCCTTCCCCCACGGCCCAGGCCTCTGTGCTCCGAGGCCCAAAGCTAGCCGCACTTCTCTCGGACCAGGCCCTGCCACCTTAGCGCACAAGCTGCCCCCAACTTCCACGCGCCGCGCCTGCTCGCGCCTCCCTTCAAGCAGCGTTGGTGGGAAGGGCAGCTTTGATTTTGGAATGATCGGTCTCCAGTCCTCGGAATTCCCTGGGAAACGTGGCGAAAAGGCGAAAGCAGGCCAACTGTCCTGCCCCCTTCTTTTTCCAGCTCTGTGGAGCAAGGCAAGGACAGGCGTTCGACACCCGAGACCCCGCACGCTCAAGCTCTTCCAAGCCACCGTTGGTGGTGGCCACGGCGCAGTTGGCCAGCAGGATAAGGGACCAAGAGGAGGCCGGAGCAGGCCTTAGATCCGGGCTCGAGGCCTTGTAGGAGCGGAACTGTTGGGTTTTCAAGCACGGTGCGCAAAGTGGGGGCACAGATTCGGCAGGGGGCATTTCCCAGGGCTCCACGAACTCCTTGCCCCGAGGTGGGAGTGGGTGCGCGGAAGAAAGGGGGCAGAGTTCTTACCTTGCGCTTGTTGCGGTGGATGTCGCCAATGGAATTGGACACCGTGTTGGGGCCCAGCAACATGCGCGTGCTGCGAGGCCACTCGGTGCTTACGAGGTGGTGCTCGCCCATGAGGATCTTGCGCACGTTCTCCGCGCCGGTCACGCGTATCAGCGGCCGCCCCAGCAAGTGCGTCTTGAACACGTTGCCATACTTCTCCCTCCGCGACGACTGGAAGCCAGAACCCTGCGGGAGCCACACCGAAGGTCCGTCTCAGGGTACACTTCTGCAGAGGGCCCGCGAGGGAGGGGCGGCGGACCCCAACGGGAGGCACTGTCACCTGCCCCCTTTCCCCACCAAACACACTCACACAGACACGCACGCAGGTTTTATTTTTCATAGCGTGCACAAGAACTGGGAAGTAGGGCCTAGAGGATAATAAATAATGCAAGGAGGCGGAGGCCCAGGGGCACCCCCAGGAGGCTGTTTTTTAGTAATGACTTTCGAGAGTAAAGCGGTATTCCGGACTGCTGGACCCGAAGTGGGAGTCTCCACCCCCACCCCTCACCCCTACTCCGCACTAGGGAGCCTCTCGGAATAAATATTTCCAGGCTCCCGGCCACGGGCTGGCGAGACCCCGCGGGGTGGCCATAGGCCAAAGATTATTTATAGCGGCAGGCGGTCGGTGCCCCGAGGCAGCAACTACAGATGGGGGTTGGAGTTTCCTCCGCTCTCCGGTGTGGCCCGCGCAGGGACCCGGCGGCCCTCGGAGGACTCGGCTGGGCGGGGTCACGGGCCAAGAGCAGCGATTTTCCTAACTGCATTTTGTCCTGGAAATAACGGAGACGGACTTTGGATGCTGCCCTGGAGTCTGGAACCCGAGCGCGGGGCGGGGTGGGGCCGGGCGGGGCGACCCGCGCAGGTAACAGGATCCTCGGCGGTGGCGGCGCGAGCCGAGGACTGCGGGGCCGGGGCCCGGCCAGGCTCTCAGAACGGCTGGCTGAGCCAGCCCCGCGCGGGTACCGGAAACTGTGGGGACCTCAGAGGGGCGGGGGCAGGGGCGTCCCGCTCACCTTTGACGTCGGCACTTGCTACCCCACCCCACGTTAACCCTTCTTCTGCCCCGGCGGCATTGCGGGAAAAGGGGAGGGGTGCCACCTGTCCAGCCGCCCCTCCTGCCCACCCACCGGCGTACTGATTCGGGCTCCAGATCTACCAGCTCCTGCACTCCCGAGGGGACAACTCAGCCCCCCATCCCGGGTTAGTCCCCCTCCTCACTTTCCTTTCTTCCAAGGAAAACTGTTCTCCAGCTAAATATGCACACACCCGAGTACAGCCGAAAAGTGACTCTGCAGAACCCGGAGTCCTAATCACTTTTCCACATGCGCCTCCGGCCCCTGCGCGCGACGGGGAAGAGCCGGGAGCGCTTGAGCAGCTAGGAGGGGGGCTGGGCCGCGAGAACGCTGTCCCCTCTCCCAGGCTGGAGGACCGGGAGAGTTCCCCCCGCCTTGCAGCCTTTCTAGACGGCGTCTTCCCCTTTAAGAAAAATCTAGGCGGAGGTGGGGGTGCGACAGAGGGGGTGGTGAGGCAAAGGGTTCCCTCCCTCCGTCTGCTATAACCGTCTCACTCGCTCCGTCTCACCCTCCGTCTCTCCTCTCCTTCTTTTCCTCTGTTTTTCTTTTCTTTCAACACAAAAGTTGGGTTGTGAATTTTCCGAGGTCGCCGCCGCCTCGCCCCCACCCCCCGCCTCTGATCTGCCTAACTATAATTAAAGTGCGTTTTTTGTGGCATTAATAAAGAGTTATTTGTCCGCCGTTTCCACGGTCTTCACAAAGAGGACTTTCATAGGGGCGGCCGCTCGGGCCGCGAGTCCAATTTATACAAAAATGTTGTATTTTTAGCCCTGGGCTCTGTTTAGATGGCGCTCGGTGGAAACGGAGAGCCCTTGGAGGTCCCCCGTAAAATCTGATAAATGACTCCGAAAAAATAACGCTGGGATTCAGAGGGCTCTCATTAACCCCTTAGGCGCTCCTGTACACGTACCCCCTATTTCCCTCTCCCCCGCCGGATCTAGGGCTCCGGGTTAGAGGGATGAGAAGGGGTAGGTTTCCCCCTCCCCAACTTCTGTGCAGGTTGGACGCTGACCCCCATTGGCTCTTGTGGGATTCGGAGAAAAGGTCACGGGGGGCCTAGCGGGGGGTGGGGCAGAGAGAGGTCAGGAAACGAAGTGGGGGTGGGTGGTGACAGCCCGTGGATTCAGCAGACTAGTTCCAAAAGGCGGGAGCCGTTGCCCAAGTTATTTTATTTCCTAAGTCGCAGCCCAAAGCCTAGAGCACCGCTGCAGTTGACCCTGTAAGTGTGGTGGCCAGGGAGAGGCTCTGGGAATTTCTTTGCGAGGGATGGGGGCGATACTTCCATTGGTTGAAGGGACCCCCACTTCATTACACGAACAACCCCCAAAAGAGAAGGGCCAAATCCGGGACATGGAAAGACCACAGGGCAGAGGAACCTCGAACCCCCTCCCCGCCCCCGCTTCGCTGTCATTCGGCCCAGAGCAGGGTGAGTGTGTGTTTGTGTGCGCGTGTGTGTGTGTGTGTGTGCGCGCGCACGCGAGCGGATTGCACGCGTCTGTTAATTTCAAGCCAAGCTTTCGCACCTCTAAACCCACAGGTCCCAGCGCTCACCTTTCGCTTCACCTCTCTGGTGCCGGGACTGTTCGTTTCAGGACATCCCTGCTTCCCTTAACAGGACAAACGCGTGTACACCTCCCGCAGGTACCGCAGAGGCGTCCCCCACCCCAAGAAGAAAACTAGTGTGTTTCACATTGCAAAAGCGATTGTCTAGCACTGGATGAGGTTAACTCCAGGTTAATCTCCCCATTACCTACCTGGGTCGGGTCCCTGACGCTCCCCACCCCCATTATCGCCAGCAGAGTGGGGTTGTGCGGCATCTAACAAGCACACACGCACTCTCTCCATGGATCCCACACTCGCCTCTCCCAAGTTTCCCTCTCCTGCCAAACTGTCCCCACCCAATAAGTAAATAGACCCATTTCCCCGAAAGCCCAGAGCCCTGGCTTCTCCAGCTTCTCGTTTTTCCTTGGGTTTCCTTCCTCCTCTTCCACCACAAAACAGACAGACTCGCGCAGACCGAGGACCAGGGCAGCTGTACCTGGCGCTGCCGACGGCGCCACGGGAACACAGTTTTAAAACGCAAATCAAGCTGCCCCCTCAACTCCCGACTCAAGTTTCGGCTCCCAGTGACACAGCCAACCCCAGAAAGCCGAGGGCGACTGGGGCTGAGCACCGAGGAGAGGTGACAGAAGCTCTGGACCGGACACTCCCTCGGGCTTCCAGCCGCGCTGGGCGCCCCCGGGGCGCTCCACACCCCCCTGCCAGGCCAGCGGCGACCCGGGCAAGTCTGTCTTGGGAGCCCTCTCAGGTCTGGGAACTCCTCTAACCAGCCTCCTGAACCTGCGCCGCGGGCGCCCGTGGTCCCGGAACCGCGCTGCCGGCGGTCAGGGAAGCCCAGGCTGCGGCGGCCGAGAGGAGGGAAGGGGCGGGGCGGGGACCAGTGCCTTCAGGCTCCCGGCGCCCCCTGGCCGGCCCGCCGCTCCGTCCGCCCCGCGCTCGCAGCTAGCGGACCGCGGAGAGCAGCGGAGCGAGCGCGCCCTTACCTGCAGCAGCCAGTGGCCGGTCTCTCCGATGAGCGGGAAGCCCATGGATCCCTTGGGGATGGGCAGCTTGCAGGTCTTGTCGCGAGTGGCGGCCCAGCGCAGCTGCCACAGCTGCTGCGACACGGCCAGCAGCAGCGTCACGGACACCAGGCACGCGGCGAGGGTGGCCAGCGCCGACACCAGCTCCAAGCCCTCAAAGAGCATGTTGGCGGCCGCTCGGGGGATTGGCTGTGCCGGCCGCAGAGGGGGAGGGGAGGGCCCGACGGGAGGGGACCGGAGCAGCGGGGGAGGGCAGGCTGCGGCCGGGGGTCCTGGCACCTCCAGCCGAAACAGAGAAGGAGGAAGGGGCCGAGGGAAGGGGAGTGGAGGCTGCGAGGGGAGCGGAGAGAAGGAGGAAAAAATTGCCTAAAAGAAGAGAGGAGACACGAGGCGACTGGGGTGCAACTTTGTTTGTTTGTTTGTTTGATTGTTCCTTTATAGCGGGCTTACGGGCTGCTCTAGGGGAGGTGAGATGAAGCCGTGAGTCAAGCTGGTGGGTTTGCTCTCCCCGCTACCATCACACTTGGAAAACTTTGGAAAACTTTGTCCAGCGGGAGGGAGCCTCTCTCGTAAGCCCCTTCCCCTGCTCGGAAAAAAAAAGAAGGGGGCAGAGAGCTAGCGGAGAGCAAGTGCGGTAGATTTCTCAAAAGTATTGCAGTATGGCCCCAAAATTCCTAGGTGAAAAAAAGAAAAAAGAAGGAAAAAATCCTGAATCTGAAAATTCCAACGAACCCAGAAACTTTGGGGACGAGAGAGGAGACCCCGGCTGAGGCGAGTGGAGAGGCCGGAGCCCAGACGTCCCTGGGCTGCCCCGGGCGGCGCGCCCAAGCCCCTGAGCCGCCGCAGCACCCCCAAGGCAGGCGCGGCGGGCGAGGCGGAAAGGCGGGCGCGGCAGCCGGAGCGCGGGTGCGGAGCCGGCGGGCCGCGGCCGGGATGGGACGCAGCCGGCGACAGAGCCCCGGGCGGGCGCTGGGGCGGCGGCGGCGGCGGCGGCGGGCGGGAGGGGTGAGGCGGGGTGGGGTTGGGGGAGGAGGTGGAAAACCCGAGCTGGGCTATTGTATCAATTAAGAAAAGGCAGTCCGTCCCGGGACGCGGTCTCTCGGCTCTGGAGTTGCTGCTGGGGGAGGGGAAAAAAAAGAAAGGAAGGCAAAAGGAATGAAAGAGGGGGAAAAGCAGGAGGCAGGATTTCAGGGCTGGTGGTTTTAAAAGCTTCTCTCAATGTGAATTTGAGTCCAAAGCGAGGCGATGCGTGTGTTTATATAGAGGCGGGAGGCTGCGCCGTGGGCGCCCCGCCAGCACCCCCCCACCCGCGCGCTCACAAAGCCGGAGGCGTGGTGAGAGGCCGGGCCCGCGGCCGGAGCTGGAGAGCACAGCCCGGCCTCCCGCCCCGCCCCAGCCGCCCGCCGCCCGCAGCCCGCCCGGGACCCACTTGTAGCCGCCGCAGGATCAAACTCAGTTCACCTCTCGCCTCCTCTTCTTTCTCGCCGGCGTCTCGCCGAGCCCAGCGCCTACAGACGGACGAGATGAGACACACGCGCGCGCACCTACGCGCACACACACAACACACACGCCCGCACACGCGCACACACACACACACACACACAGACACAAGCGCCCGCACACACACACGGCGCGCACTCGCTTAGTGCCCCCTTGGATTCTAGGCTGCTTCCCTCCCTCTTTTCCTCCTTCCCAGGTCAGTGGCCTCCTCCTCAGCTCCGAGCAGTCCCTACTGGGCCAGAGCCCCGGCAGCGGAGGTCCTGGCCCGACTGCCCCCTCGACTGGGAGGCGCCCAAACCCCTCGAACCTGTGCCTAGGGTCTGGAGCTCCCAACCCGCGGGACCCCGCTGGCTCCTATCTCCAGGGACCCCTCAGTTATCAGCTCCAATCCCCCTAACCCAGGTCGCCCATTCCCAATCCTCACACCTCCGATGATGAGGTCCGCCCCCGCCAAACGTCTCTTACCCTGCGGGACTCGGAGGTTCCCCGTCAACGTCCCAGGCTGCTGACTCTGCAGCCCCTCCTTTCCGACACTGCGGGACCCCCCCTCCCCTGCTTTTGTAGTCCCAGTCCACCGCCCGCAGCGTCGGGGAACCCCGATGCTGGTCCGGGCAAGTGTCCTGCGCGGGGACAAACGCGGCGGCCCCGATTCCCAGAGGCGGGAGAAGACGGGCACAAACGTTCATTGATACAAATGAGTAAATAAACATGCTGGGTGAGCACGGCCACCTTCTCAGCGCCGGCAGCAGAGGGCCGGGCGCGCGTGCCTGTGTGCGGTGTGCGTGTGGCCCGGGGCCGCACCTGTGTGCTCGCGCGCGTGGCCTCGCGTCGGGCCGACCTCTGAGGAGCGAGGCGGCTTGTCTGTGGGTTTGTGTATTCTTTCTAGAGCCGTGAGTGTGTCTGCGCATCCGTGCATCTGTCATCTGGCCTCTTCCTGTGAGCCTGTGCTAAACGGAGCTGCTCACAGCAACCCCGACACGGGTCTCGCCAGTGCCTGCCTTTCCTTCTCCCGGGCATCCGGCTTCCCTTAGCCCTCTTGGCTCTGGCGTTCGCTATCGCACTCCCGGAGCCAGAGTAGATACCCCATCTTTAAGAGTGGTGTGTGTGTCAACGATACTAGACTCCCCTTTTAACACCTTGCCTGCACCTAGTACGAGTTCTGCTTTAGAGTTCACGAGACCAGACTGTATGTGAGCGTCTAACGTGCGCGCAGATGTGTTGTCCCTCCCTGTGTGAGCGCTTCCGAGGCTGGTGTGGCAGGAGATCTAAACGCTGGTCTAGCCCCCAGCGCTGGGTCACCCCGGCTTCACTCTCTGCCCTGGAACCCCACCTGGTGGACAGTTGTAGTACTACAGATTCAGGGAACGATTCCCTCTGCACCCTTTCCGCACTCGCCCTTCCTAGTGGGAGATCAGCTCCAAAGGGCCGGCTTGTAGGCTCCTAAAGCACCCCGCTCCTGTCTCAGTGCCCTCAGACATCCACCCCAGGATGCTTGGGGCCAGACACTCACGAAGGCCCTGTCAGGACCAGTGTAGTCAGAGAGCTAGGAAGCACCCTCGGAGTAGGGTGGTTTCACAGGACAATCACATCTGAACCACCCCACACCCCATCTGAGGATGAAGCTAACATAAAATGGGGTGGGGGAGATTGTTGAGGCCTTGCTGGCTTGAAAAGCTCTAAGAATCTAGCCTGACCCCCAGACACAGCACTGGCCACAAGGTGGTGAAATGGGCAAGTAACCCCGGAAAACCCAGCCGTGGAAATCTCTATCACACAGCTATATAGAGATGCAGATAGATGCACAGGCTGACACTGAGCGCCCGTGCGCGCGCGCTCACACACACACACACACACACACACACACACAAGGATCATTGTCACAGTCACAAAACACCCACCTCCCAGCCACCAACCCAAGAAACCACAGGAGGTGTCTGCCAGTGGGGCCCACAGCCCAGGAAGTCCCCAACATGCCATTGCCTTCTCCCGGCTCTCCTTACTCCTGGGTGGGGGTGGCTTTTGTGCCCTTTTGTCCTCCCTTGCCCAGTCTCTTTTCCTGTTCCAGCAAAGAGGAGGCGTTGGGAGGGATGTGGGGGAGAAATTCTGAGTCCTTATGCCCTGTGCCAAGTGGGATCCTGGGGACAGTCGGCAGGGATGGCACAGCCCTACAGCAATAGTCGCTGGATTTCCTAATTGAAACTGCCTCTCAGCTCAAATCTCAAAAAGTACTTGGGAAAGATGAAAAAGAGAGCCTCGGTACTCCACTCTAAGAATTCCCGGAGGTGCTGTGGAGAGTGGGGGTGCTGAGGCCGCGGACAGGCTTGTGAAGAGGTGGCCAGGACAGAGAAAGCTCAGCGCCCGTCTTTGCCAGTCAGGTTCCATCAGAGGACTTTCATTGACCTCAGACGGACTTCTGACTCTCGTCCCAGACAGAGCCCTGCTCCAAACCTCAGTGTAGCATGTAACCCTGACCTAAAACAGACCCTTGAGCCTAATCCCAGAATGATCCTTAGTCCTGGTCACAGACTGACCCTGTCTCAAAGCCCAGACTGAATCCCAGTACTACCAAGTATCACTGTGGCCACAAAAGTATGACTGGCCCCTTGTAGGCTGCCCCAAAGCTGGGGCACAGCTCAACTCCCAAGGCCCTGGGAGCACAGGCATGTTCTAGGGCAGGATATTGCCTCGTTTTAGCTTTGGAATGATACACCTGTTGCCCAGTGAGCATCCCTCTCCTGCCAGCTGGTTATAGCTAATGTCACAGGAACTCCCAGACTGCCACCCTCCCACCACACACACACACACACACGCACGCACACACACACACACACACACACACCACACAACTCTTTCCCATAGGCCCAGGACACACCCCCAGGCTTCAGCTATTGCCTACAGTGCTGCAGTTCAAGGCCGGTCTCACATGTCCCTGTAGCCTTTCTAGCACTTTGAAATCAGTCAGAGCAGCCTGAGAAATGAGTAAGGCAATGCTGGTTCAAATGGAGCGCTGCCTGGTGACATCTGCAGCCTTTGGCAGAGAGGGCCTGGGAAATAGGGAGGGTAGGCCTCAGGCACTCTTGGAATATGCACACCATGAGCAGGCACAGCCTTTGCACCCACTTCCGGAGCTCAGAAAACCCTGAGCACAGGGGCAGGTCTGCCTAGAGTCCTGCTGCTCAGCGAGACCCACAGCTGCACAGGGGTGCGGTCTGCCCTGGACTTGCTACACCCAAGGGAAAGAAGATAGTCCCCTTACAGGTCTCTTACATGCATGCAGTCCTGTGTGGCCAGCAACATTCTCCCACAGCTATTATTTTATTTCAACTCCACCACAGCCTATTGAGATCATACGATTTTTAGGTATTAGATTTACCAGTTACTTTTCGTATTGATGAGAAAACGGAGGCCCAGAGTCCCTCAATCCCCCATCCTCGTTGTATCGTCCTGTTTCCCGCCCCCCCCCCCCCCCCCCCCCCCACCAAACAGGCACACATCTCCAGGAGCCATAAGATCCTGTCCTTAACGGCAGCTTCCTCTTTGTCTACTGTCCATGCTTCTGACAGCTAAAGCCGACAACGGAGGGAGCTGTCAATTTTCCACTCAATTTTGTATAGTCTTGGCCCTGAATTTGTTTAATTGATGCTAATTTGCTTTCTTTTCCGTAAAACCACCTCTAATTCCTCCAACCAGAGCCAAGCAGAAAGGAGGAAAAGTCCGGGATCCAGGCGACCGCTTGGCCCTACCCGCCAGGGTGTCCAGAAGGCAAAGAGCCCGGGAGGCAGTGAGCAGGAGGCAGGGCTGTGGGTTCAGGGACCAGCAGAGTTTGCTCAAGTCCTCCCGGCCTCTGGCCTGCACGCTGGGCTGTCTAGCCTGAGGGACAAAGCCTGGAATCCCGCCTCGGCGAACTCTTTGCTCTTAGCCCTGTCCTGCCTGGCTGGCACGAATGAGCCCTTGGAAAAAGCTCTCGGCTCCTGGCCCCTTCTCATGCTCCCCAGCCTCAGGCTGGCTCCCTTCTGTTCTAAGTCTTCTTGATACACTGCCTGACAGTGGCGGGGCCCTTGGCCTGTAAGATCCCAAGTCCTGTGGGGAAGCAACATTTCTGAGGCGCTGTGGAGGACAGGGACGGGAGCGGCAGGTCCTGCGCAGACCCTTCTCCAGAGCCAGAGCAGAAACTGCGACTCCGGTGGGTCAGGGATGCCTCTTTCGCCCTGGAGCCCAGCTTGTGGCCCAGATATTCATCCGAGGCCTAGGTGCCTACCTCTCTCCCACTTCGGGCCCTCCCTCCAGAGCTGGCGCCACAAGATCGGCAGCCCCTCCAGTGCCCAGTCCTCAAGGACAGCTTAGAGGACGCTCCCTGCCTGTCTCTGGCTGTCCTGACAGGGGCTGGGATCCCTGCTGT